TAGAATTAGTATTATATATTAGTAGAGTAAATGAAACGGGACAAACGGGACGGATCGATATAAATTTTAGTTGTCCCGCTCATGTCCCATTTGATATTGGGACGGAACGGGTTCGAGATAAAAAAAATGTGTCCCGATATATCAGTATAATTACAAAACAGATCCGGGATTTTTCGAAACGGTCCAACGGGATCGGATTTCACGTCCACCCCTAATTGAAACCATCTTTTTTTTACCATGTTTCATAGGAAGTGCTTTTTATTGAATATAAGGTGAAGAAATTGTTAGTCATAAGATATTGATGACTGCTATATTTTGGTTGGTTTATGGTAATAAGATTTATGCTTTCGATTCAAAAAAATAATCAAAATCCAAGTTTAAGACCATACATTTCCAAATAGGCCATAATATAATATGTGTGCATATAGTATTGGAAATATTCACATAAATACTCTAAGAAATGAGTAATTTTACATTAATACTCAAAAATTTTAAATTAGCGTCACCCCTACTAGAAATTACTTATGTTTACACTATTACTCTCGATTGCCAAATAAGTTAACTGTGTGCCATTTTAAATATTGAGTGAGTAAAATTTTTAAGTATGAGTTGATAACTAATAAAAATAATATTAAAAATATCGAAGATTTGTTATGACTTATGACTAGACCCTCTTGTTTTAAGACTAAAAACTGAAATGTGGCACAAATAGGAAACTATAATCTATTTATACTTTAATCAGATAAATTGTGAATAGTGTTACAAAATAGGAAACTATAATCTATTTAATATTTATATTTTTTGTAATCGAAATCATATCCGTTGCAAAATTCTCAATAAGAGAAATCCAACGGTATATGGTATATAAGGAAAAGTTTGAGTTATGAATTTTAAGTTGGATAATTTACACAAATACGATTAAAACATAGTCATTTTCTCGAAATAGGACTATAAGTTTTTCCCCTAACTAGGATCTAATTAATTAATAATTATTTAATAAAACAAAATTTATATTTGTTTATGATATACTTATTAAATTAAGTTAGTTTGTATTTTATTTATTTAAATATTGACATACAAATATAAAATACTCCAGTATATTTAAAGCTCTAAGTTAATATTCTATAAAACAAAATACACCTAGACTATTATTTTAATGGTTAACTATTTAAATCAAATAAATTTAAAAATAATGTTTTCACAGGCTTGAATGATTACTTATTCAAACGTAAAAGAAAAAAAATAAATAAAAATTTTACAAATGTATTTAAAAAATTTCATTTAGAACTATAGGATTACTAATATTTTTCATATTCGTTTTTGTTTGAATTAATGTATTTTTATTAAAATATCTCATCTTTATAAATTATCAATGTTAAGCAAAGATATGATACATTTTTGTGCATCTTGTATAATAATATTAGAAATCACCCTAAATACGACTAAAACATAGAAAAAAGTACCAAATTACCAAAATATGACTTTCATGTTTTTTTTCCTGAAATAGGACTTTGTTTTGTGGTAATGTGGCACTGTACATGTGGACATTACTATACTTTTTTGGCAAAGTACATGACCATGTTTGGTAATGTAAGTTCTATTTCGTGAATAAAAACATGAAAGTTCAATTTTAGTATATTTTCAATGTTTTAGTCCTACTTTGACCTTTCTCCCTAATAATATACTCCGTATTACATGCTAGATGTGCTTGACAAAAAACGTTGTATCTTGTATGCTATAAATAATTTATTGTATAAAATGTTATGCTCTCATATTCTCTACAATCCCACTCATTGAATCTCAAATTTATTTTTTGAAAAAATCGTATCAAATGAAACAACTAAAAAGTATGGAATTTAAAACAACAACAACAACAATATTTCTTGATTGGATCTGATCTGATATAATTTTAATAAGAATAAAAAAGCAGAAAAAATAAGTTGAACTGAACAAGGCCTTAGTCTTATTTCAATATTTCCAAAAAAAAGAATAATAATCTAATAATAGGATGTGTATTGAATTAATTTCTGATCCCTCTCTCTTCAACCTATTTATACTTATTGTCAAGGAACCAACTCAACCAAAAGCTCAAGCTTGTGGTTGTGGTCCAAGAATTATTGTTATATACTCTAACACGCCTCCTCACGTGCAAGCGTGACCTCTTTGAGTCTTGCACGTGAAACCTTAATTTTTTTATTAAACTAGGTGGCGGTGAGTTTCGAACTCGTGACCTCTTGGTCATCAAGGTTTTGATACCAGGTCAAGTAACCAACTCAACCAAAAGCTCAAACTCGTGGTTGTGGCTCATGAATGATTTTTATATACTCTAACACTTATTATTATGAGAAAGCATATTAAGGCCCCGTTCCGTTCAACTTATTTTTCTGCTTTTTTCTTATTCTTATTAACATCAGATTAGATCAGACCAAAACAGATCAGATCAGATCTAATCATATTAGATCAAATCAGATCAGATCAGATCAGATCCAACCATATCAGACTAGATCAGATCAAATCAAGGATTATTATGATTATTATTATTATTATTCTTAAAAATGAAAAAGAATACACTTTAGAAATAAGTTAAATAGAGAATTGAGAAAGTAATCCTTAATTATTAGACGTCGGAAAAATTATTTCTAAAATACATTGACAATGTCAATCTAATTATACTTTTAGAATACATTTTTATTTCTACCTATAATTTGAGTTTCTAAAGTTTTGATCTTTTACTACATTGAGTTGATCAACTTTAATCATGATTTAAATAAAATTAACATTTGATATTAATGTACGGAGTATATTTTCGTGTAACTAAAATAACTATTATATCTATGGTGTTATATTAATCATAAAAAAAATTTAGTAGTACAAAGCACATGTTGATATTTTATATGGATAAGATATTTTAATAAAAATACTATCTCTTCTCTATATTAATTATCTAATTTTAATTACTTTTTAATGTATATATGAATTAAATATTTATTCTAATGTATATATGAACTAATTATTAAAATATTAAATAAATATTATTATTTCATAAAAATAATCATAAAATAAAAAATATTATTACATTATAATATGAATGATTATTCTAAATATATGAATTAACTAATTTTATTTCATTAAAAAATAATAATAAAATAAAAAATATTGATCATATTATAATATGAATTATCATTACAATTTTTAAACATTATTATAAAGCCAAATCAAACTATTGATCTGAATTTTAAACCAAATCATAATTAATCAGATTAGATCAAACCAGACCAAATCAGATCCAATCAGATCAGATCAGATGAGATTTATCAAATCAGATGTGATCAGATCCAATCAGAAAAAATAAGTTGACTGGAATGGAGCCTAAGTATCTAAATTCCAATACAAACTGATCTAAGATCTTATCCTTGTGTTCTATTCCATAAATCCATACTTTATTTAAAAAGAGATGAAGTGGGGTAATGGTTCCCCCCCCCATATTTTAGGCTATTACATATGGTAATGTTTAGTTTACATGGTAAGTAATAAAAGCCTATTAATTTACGTTCTAATAATATTTTATTTCATTAATAAAATGGTATTAATACCGTAAATGTTGAAAAATATAAATAAAGTGGTAATTTGTTTGGAAAGAAAAAATACTATTTAAACAAATATTAAAATTTTCATTTAAAAACTTTAAATTTCCATTTCAAGAGATGTTATGCCATAAAATATGGTAATTATGATGTTTACATGGAAAGTAATAAAATGCTATTAATACACACCAATCAAGGCTATTTATACCGTAAATTTGGAAAGAAAAACATTCTGTTTCAAAAATATAAAAAAAATCTGTTTAAAATTTTTAAATTTCCGTTTCAAGAGATGTTATACCATTACATATGGTAATTGTTTAGTTTACATGGTAAGTAATAAAAGGCTATTAATTTCTGTGCCAATAATATTTTATTACGTAAATGCTCAATCCACTTTTTTTTCACGCCAATAAAAGGGTATCAATACCGTAAATGTTGAAAAATATCAATAAAGTGGAAATTTGTTTGGAAAGAAAAAAATTCTGTTGCAAAAATAAAAAATTTAAATTTTCATTCAAAAATTTTTAATTTCCGTTTCAAGAGATGTTATACCATTACATATGGTAATTGTGATGTTTTCATGGTATTAATAAAAGCCTATTAGTACACGCCAATAAAGGCTATTACTACCGAAACTTTTCAAAAATAAAAATATAGTGAAAATTTGTTTTGAAAGAAAAAAAATCTGTTTAAAAAATAAAGGCAAAAAAAATCTGTTTAAATATACTTACCTTTTCAAAAATTTCTTGAAAACAAAAAACTTTCCGTTTCCAAAATAAAAAAACAATTCATTTAAAAAATAAACCCTTACTACTATAATTAGCCTTTTATAATTATATACTATAAATATGGTCTTTTCCAGACCCTTCGTAGTAAGATAATTCAACGTGTGTTTTTATTCAGTGTTTCAACATCGCCTTTTCTACGAGCATGGAGATCTTAACCGCTTTAAAAAATGTTGACAAGAAGTTAGCGCTATTGATGATGAAAGTAAAAGCGATAAGAGTTTATCACGTTCATGCCCATTCTCCAGGGCCAGAATCATTGGATGTTATTTTTCATGACTCAGAAGTTTGTAATTCATTATTTTATATTTTACATATAAATCTTTTAAAAAAAATTGAATTTAATTATATGTAAACGTTTTCCATTTGTTGTTAGGGTGATCGAATCCATGCTCAGATCAGAGATTCTAATATACGGACATTCAAAGAAAATTTGCAAGAAAATGTTGTTTATTTAGTGATGAGAGTCAAGGTATTGCTCAATTTCTAAAGCACAAAAACTACCAATCACCCTGGTGACTAGGCCCATATGTCCAATTAAACTAATGGACCCTAACTCTATAAATTAGAATAAAATAAAATGAGTTTAAAATTTGTTAAGATATATAAAATTAAATCATTTTTATAGTAATTTATAATACAAATTTTATTCTAATTGATGATCAAAGCTGGTGTGACTCGCAAATTATATTGTACAGCCGTCCACTTCAATGTTTCGTTGCTATGTTCATCTCCTCCGTTTGTAGAACCTTGCTCTCTGTCCTCCTTCGTGGCCGCAACAGTTCTGCGGTTCTTTTCCGGAAACTGGAAAACCAATATCCAAAGTGCTACATAAAAAATTGGGTAGCCGGCATATAATATGAGTACTACACCGATCAAATCAAATGCGTCAAATCACACCATGATTGTAAAATTAATTATATTATATGTTTCAAATGTGATAAGAAATGAACTGTACTTATTTGAGAATGAACACTACGTTATTTGAGAATGTGTACTACTTTGTTTAAGAATGAAAACTACATTATTCGTAAATAAATATTATAATTATATTGAAAAATTGTGTGAAAATGAGTATTTTGTTATTCCAAAATGAGTATTACGTTATTTTAGAATGAGTAGTAGTTATTTCAAGTGAACATGTACGTTTGTGCGAAAATGAATATTATTTTACTTCAGAATGAGTCTTACCCAGATGTACCTGTGTCTAGGTACAACAGGCTGTACCTCCTGAGTGTGACTTAACTACAATATGTTAAAGTTTAACTACAATATGTTCAAGTAGATAAACGCAATAGAACTGGTGGTATTCCCTCCATTATTAAATGGATTGCCATGTTAGTATTCCGGCCTTCCATTTTTTTTTTACTATTATTTATTTCGTGCATGTTTGTTATTGATCATTTAATAAAATAAAATATTTTTGTCTTCTCTTATTTTGTAAAACATTTATATAGTTTCTAATATATACGTTTTGTTTTTAATTTCTATATCAATTTGTGAACAAAATAGATTTAAAAATACTCCATTTGTCCCACAATTGATTACAATTTTTTTATCTTGCCTTTCACTAACTTATGTTTACTTAGGTACTTTCATCGATTATTTAAAAAAATAAAATATTATTGTCACGTCTAGTTTTGAAAAAAAATTTATGAAATTTTTAAATATACAAGTTTTATTTTTATACGAATTCTTAAATAAAATAATTTTAAAAAATTGAAGTTTTACCTCGTAATTCTAAAATTGTAATCAAAATTAGAACAAAGGAAGTACATACTTTTATACATAGTTCCAATCCATTTAGGGACATAGGAGTATAAAGTTTGCTTGATATATATGGAGGTTAAAGAAGTAAATATCATTTTATTCATATTAATAAGCAAACAAAATGTAACTTAAATCAGAACCATTCCCTTAATCTAAGTAATAAGAAACTTAAATACTGCACTAATACCCGGCCATTTTACCGATTTTCATCCTCTAAACCTTTCATCAAAAAATTTAGGTCGTATGACTTTATAAACTTACAAAAAAAATGTTCTACATTTAGCTTTATTGTTTAAGAAAAATTAATTAGTGATAACATTTAACTTTAATATTTTAAAAGTTAATCTACACAATTAGAAATAATAAAAAAAACTATTGTCAATTAAATCTCAAGTAAGGCAAAATTTTCATTTAGTTTGAACCTTTAAATTATATATATATATATATATATATATATATATATATATATATATATATATATATATATATATATATATATATATATATATATATATATATATATATATATATATATATATATATATATATATATATATATATATATATATATATATATATATATATATATATATATGGTTTTTATATACTCCATTTAGTAAGTATCTAAAGTAGTGTACCATCATAGACCCAAAAATTTGGAAGTACGGTGGAAATGTGCAAATCTGGCTATGGAGGTGTCACTGATGATTCCCATCGATTGCATCCCCTAAGTTTGAGTTGCAAAATATGATCCGTTCCATTTCGGTCGTTGACCACCTCGCAGCATTGGCGCCGTGGTGCCTACGAATGCAACAATGAATAATCCAACTAAAAGCAAATGAAAAACCACAAAAGTCTTACTGATATTAAACATCAATGAAACTTAATAATCTCCTAGTAGTTCAGTCATGTACGCATTGTCATTAACCTTAGCTTCTCTAAAATTTCAAATGGACCATCGGCTCGGGGAAGAAGCATGAACTTGTGTTTAGTAAAAAACGCTATTTGCAAAGACAATTCAATACATAACTATTCTCCATTATTATTTTCTACATGTTGTCGGAGCCAAGTTCTTAGTGACCTAAAACTTTTGGCCTTCGCTCCTGGCCGGCGACACCACCATTAGCCGCTCGTCAGGCTGTTGTTCTTCCTCCAATCCAAATTCCTTACCACCACGAAACCGACAACACCTCAAACTTAAACTCTACCATACTGAATCACAAGAATCACTAGCATTCTATACTCTTTCTGCTCATCACCTTGCTACGGAAACAAATTCATATTGGTTTGTGGAAGGTGTCACACCAATTGTCAAGGACTCTTTGGCTGCAAGTCACTCCTGTCATCCTTATTAGATGGTATCCTCTAAGTGAAGAATATGACTCATGAAGAAATAGTCCAACAAGGGTTATTCTGCAGAATGCGGACAATTTCTTCAAGGCAAAATTAAAAAATGGACTTCAGGATGATTGAAAAGAATGTTGTTCGTCCTGTTCGTTTGAATTCGATAAAGGTTAAAAAAGAATGACGATTCTTTATCCGATTGACTATTCGACGGATTCAAAAATAGTGGTGTCTTTCTTGAAGAATGAGAAAAATTGTTTGTTGAAGTGTTGAGATGAAACTTGAACAAAGATCATTTGATTATGTGTTGTCCAAATTGAACACTCGTAATCCTCACACTTTAGCTTGAGGGCGGTGTTACGATAAAAGAGTTTGGTGTTTTCCTATTTTAGTAAAATCTTGTTTTAAAAGAAATAGAATTATGGTAAGAATAGAAATTTATTTAATTGCTTTACCCTCTTCCCATGTAAAGAAGATTGAATTTTTGTAATCTCCAAGACAACTCAATATACAGAATTATTCCCTCTTGTTATTTTCTACATTCGTGTTTGCTTTACCCTAAATTGAACTTGAGGGTCATGCATCTTGAGTTGGAATCAGAGTATCCCAAGAAGATATCCCATTTTTTATTTGGGAGAACTCCTTTAACCTACTAATTATTAACCTATTTAAAAATTATATTTATTCAATATTAATCAACTCATTACATCATATCGCACCCTACGACCTTGTTCCGGAACATCGTTTTCGATTAATGTTAGCATTGTGTGGGAACATCATTTTTTACTAATGTTAGCATTTTTGGTAAAATTTTAATGGAGTATGCTAATTCTAAAAATGTTAACGCTAAAGACTACCATCATATAACTTTTCCAAAATGCTAACTTTTAAAGCTAATGTGAAACGGGACCTACATTAAACTAAGGGAAAATTTGATTAGTACCACCAAAATTACATAACCTTTAAGTTTAACTTTTTTCTAAAATACAAAAGTTTTATGAGATGAATATTTTTTCTAAAATACAAAAGTTGTATGAGACGAAGGGACTCAAGGGAGTACATATTTGCACTATAAATCGATAGTAGAGGGTGTTGGGTGATATTATCTGTCCTTCAATATTTGTCGTCCAATTGTCTATTTGAAGTCAAAATTGACAAAATTTAACCACTAATTAAATAAAATTTATATTAGTCATTGATGTAAAAATAATTTTATTAAATCTATTTTATACGGAGTAGAATATTTTTAGAATATTATTTTATCTAAATAATATCTCCGTAATTGTTATTTAATTATAAATCAATAGTCAAATTTCAAAAGTTGATAGATATTTCATAAAGATAAAGCTATTTGTACCCTAAGTTTTTGTATCCCACTTTGTACCCCGCAGATTTGCACCAATATTTTGTATTGGTATAAAACTAATTTTCGTTAACGCACAAACACTTTATGTCCGTGTAACTTTTTCTTAACACACCAACACTTGTATCGGTGTAAACCATCAAAATGTTTATGTATAACTGCGGGATACAAATGGAGTACAATTTTTTGTGCAAGTATAGCATGATTGATTTCATAATTCATACCAGTAGGAAATTTTGGTTCAACGCGTTTTTAAAGGTCAAGATTCCTCCTCTTTGTCTTCCTTCTATTTCGGGGGAGTTCACAATTTTGGGGACAAATAGTCAGACATATTTGAAAAAAAAAGCATATCAACTCCGAGACCAATGTTCTGCCACAGAATCTTAAAAACAAGGCAAAACAGTAATTTTAAATCAATAGATTGAAACAATTAAAAACCAGGATATCATTGCGGTATTTATTTCACTCTGATTCGTGTCAAAAATATCAATGACATACAAATTTTTATATCTTTTAAAATTATTTTATTTATAAATTATTATAGAAATAAATATACAAATTAGATAAGTAGTATTTAAAACTACATCAAAAGTCATAAAACAAAACGTGACATAAATACTTTATTTTATCAAATAATGAATAAAAATATACAAAAATAACAATTATCAGAAGGTCAGAATAGAAACTCGGTCCATTTTTCTCTAAGGTAGAGAGTAGTTTTTTAAAGGTCAAACACATTCCATGGCGCAGCTGTTGCAAATTTAAGAAAAAAAGACTAAAATAGGAGTAAAATATTAAAATATAATAATATAGGAGTTTCATGTTTTTATTTCGAAATAGGGGTTAAAACACATATTGAATCTAAACGATCATGAACATATTTACATTACGCAATATTTTCATATACAGCGTCACATTATCACAGTGCAAACTCTTATTTTGAAAATAAAAACATGAAGTTTTTAAAGGTGAGCATCCGTTCATTTTGCTGAAATTGAATTAAGAAATCATCCAATACAAAAACAAAACATACAGACCATATCTCTTATCTCTAAAATAGGAGTGATATTTTTTTTATTTCTAAAACATGCATGACTAGTGCACTAAGACAATTTGACATCAGTGTATATTAGCATTCTACACTAGTTTTACATTATAGTCTTATTTTAAATGAAAAATATAAAGGTTCTATTATGGTTCTTTCAATATGTTTTACTCCTCCTTTTAGCCTTTTTTCTCTAGAAAAACAACAACCCTGTAAAATCCCACAAGAATACGGTCCGAGAAAGATGTGCATATCCAAATCTTACCCTTATTCGAAAGTAGAGATGCTCTTCCATGAAACCCCCGCTCAAACTTGTTAGATACTCCGTATGTTTTTAGTATTGGCAAGCTCCACAATTTAATATTGTGTATTAGCATTTCAAAGTATATTTTGACATTATAAATCTTATTCTTATACTTAAAACATATATTTTCATCATTTTTGGCATTTCTCCCGATTGATTTCCCATAAGAATTCAAGTCCTGTTCCAAAAACCATTGCAACCTATATATTCGACTAAATATGCAACTCTAGAGGATTTAGGTAGATGTTAATCCATTGAGTCACAAGATAACACAAGATTTAAACAATGTATGATCAAAAAAAGAATTGAGGGAGAAGTTGAAGTAATACCTTTTTCCATATGTCCGGACTTAAGATTTGAGCAGAGACGTTGAAGGCCGAAACGGACAATGCAGGTTTATACTCGTAGCTATCGCATTCTTTCCCGCCCTCCTCTCTCGCCCTATTGTAAGTCGTCACGCTCCCGCGACTTCCAAAGCTTCCGACTTTGTCGTCCAAGTAAAAAATCAATGGCTTCTCGCACAAGTCCGAGCTCATCCTCCGCACGTCAAAAGTGAAGGGACGTTCTTGCCACGAGGTCCAGGTCAAGAACGTCCCGAACGGCATCTCCAACTCCCTGGCTCTTACTAGCGCGGGGTACAGCTGGACTGTGTACCCCCACGCAATTGAAATGGTCCAATTTCGCCTTGTGTCGTAGCAGAAACTCTGTTGTAGCGTCCTACTTGGGTCGGTCTTGTAGGCCGACACCAATTTCCTCAGGGATTCCTCTTGAGACTTTTCAGGAAACATTGGCCACATGTAGTCCAGGTGGTGTAACGATACTAGTGGCGCCACCGGATGTGCGGCCAGCAGCCCATAAGGGTCTTCCCTTATGTCCATCTTCGCACCAAAAAAAAGATATATCAAATGTTACATAGTAGTGTCTTCATGCCTAAGTACTCATTTTGTCCCGAAATTTTCTTCCTATTTGAGATTTTTTGAATGTATTTTTAAAATGTTGATAAGAAAAGTCATATAAAAAAGAAAAATTTGGTATGGAGAGGGTATACATAAGAATTTGAGATAAGATATCTTAACATCACTTTTATTTTACAACGTTTGTCACTCATAATTTTCATATGCAAAGTGTTAATGTATAACCCACCTCGGGATTGAAAGATAATAACCCTCAAAATTCACAACAATCGGATATCATTTATTGTTTCAAGCCTAATAACTTCCAAAATAAACGGTTTTTCACCATGTAAAAATATGAGTCATTAAATGAATCACTAAATAGTACTCCGTATGGAGCAATACATAGGTTGAAATTTATGAACTCTATTACAATAGAGTTTAAGGCAAAGATATTTTGACTTTAGAACTTCCCATCATAATATGATTTTAGGCTCCTAGAATATTTCCATTAGTAAAATTAATGATTTCTCCCCTCAATCTCACCTAAATCCTACTCTTGTCTCTATCTGTCCACCCCATCAAGCACCCCTCTACCCTCTCTTCATTCCGCTCATTGGGTTTTGTGATGGGGTGGGCCGGAAGGGGTAGAGGCAGGGTTTAGAAGGTTAGGGAGGTAGAAGCCATTAATTTTACAAATGAAGCATCGTAGGAGTCCCGAATCATAAAATGATTGGAACCATTTTGATAGTGTTATTAGTGTTTTAAAAAAATAAAAATATGCTCCCTAATAAAATCAGGTTAAAAATAAAGAACTGACCTGGTGAAAACCGGGTTCTTTGGTGAGGGGAACGCCAATCTCGGTGATGCAGCCACCGATTTTCTGATCTGAGCCGTAATAATCGGCATACCGATCGATGCATCCGTCCAAAACCCTAACGAGCTTTGCCGCCAGCGGGTAGCTGATCGCGAACCCCCCGCCGCCGTAGGCCATGGTGTACGAGTGCACCTCCGTCTGCTCCACGCTCTCCGACACCCCCCCGATGTAATACATTTCCCTGTGGTCGTACTTTGACAGCACCGCCACCAGATTCTCCGGGAAGAACACCGTGTCGTCGTCCCCCATCACGAACCACCGCACGTTCTCCGCCCCCAACTCGAAGCTCTCCTTCACGATCCTCGCGATCCGCACCGCCGCCCTCGACCCGAAACTGCACGTGTACTGGAACCCGGACGTGTTCTGGGAGACCCGGAAAGGCGGGGCCCGCTCCGGCCACGTCTCGTTCTCCGGGGGTCGCCCGTCGAGCCAGACCAACCCCCGCATCACGTCCGGGTCCCACCACGCGTCGCAGTAATGGCGCCGGCCGTTCCACGTTTCCAGGGAACTGCCGATGCCGAAGAGGACGTGGGAAATGTTGGTCGCCCCCGGGGTCCGGTCGTCGTCCTCGCCGCCGCCGCAGGGGATCGAATCCGGGGTCGTTGCTGTGCCGGTGCGGACGAAAGCGTGTGGGTTTTCGAAGCCGCGGAGCCACTCGGAGAAGACGAGGAAGGAGAGCAGAGATATGGAGACGGCGAGACAGATTCCGACGAAGCCTTTGACGAAATTGATGAAGACAACATCGCCCATTTTGAAGGTGTGGAAGCGGTTGTACTTCCATGGTTTTATCAGCAGGTCGGAGTATTGGTGGCGATTATGGGCTTGAAGCATTCTTTCTTTCAAGAATCTTTCTTTTCTTTCTTTCTTGATTTTCTTTGTGATATGAAATCTGAAAGTGTGTGGGTGGGTGGGTACTGGATCTGGAGATTACGTTTTAGTCAAGATGAATTGATTAATTAATGTGTCTTTTATGAGATCGAGGACTAGGTACTGTTTAATTAATTTATGTACAGTCCGTAGTATACTCCTATGGGTGAGGGGGGCGTATACGAGAATAGTGGTGCTTGAGACAAGGCTATTTCAACATTTTCCGGTTTTATATCTGCTTTCTGGGCAGGGGGTCAACAAACCGCATTGAATAGAATCAGGGGCATATTTCGTATTTGATGACGAAAGTCACGAAACTGAGTTTGCAATGGGATTGGTTTGGTGAGAGTGGGAGATACTTCCTACATTCCATTATGACTTTCTTGGTACATTGAGAAATGAATGAATATAGACATAACGTATGTCTACATTCATTAATTTTTAAATGTAACAAGAGGGAGTATAGATTTTAATATCTCTCAGTATTAGAGATACTAGTTCTCTAACCCGTGCATTGCACGTTCATTAGTTTGGCATAGTAAAAGAAAAATAAATTTTAAATTTATACTGGAAATAGAGACAATAAAGTGAAATTATTTTAAGGAAAAATTACCCAAAATAATCCCAACTTTATCCGGTCTTTCAAAAATAATCCCACCTTTCACTGTGATCCATAATAATCCCAACTTTATTGAAATTTTCCAGTTTTGGGTCGCCGTTAAATTTCTAACGGAGGGTTAACGGAAATGCCCGTTTTAGGCAACAAAATGAAAGTTGGGATTATTTTTGATGAATTTTTGTTTTTTAATTTTTTTGAAATTTTTATTTAAAATTTTTGAATTACTTTCAACCTCAATTTCTTTTTCTTTTTTAAAGATTATTCTTACCTTAGAAAAAAATAGATATAAAAAATAATGAAAATGAGAAAAATAACTAAAACCATACAAAATTAATCGAATAAATAATGTAATCAATAGAAATTAAATAGAAACTGGTAAGAAATAAAATAAATATATACGGAGTGGTGGGTTTTAACATTTTACACACTATACGGAGTCTTAATGTACTTTTTCTTCCGTCCCAGAGTATTTGTCCACTTTCATTTTTACACACCATCCAATACACTTCTTTAATCCATTTAATCTTGTAATTTGTATATTAAATAATTATAAAAATTATATATTAATAATCTATATGCTAAGACAAATCAAACAAAATCATACATGACTATATTTAGGCTTACACATTGAGAGAATTTGATGAGTCAAAGTGCTTAGATGAACAGTTCCAAAAGTCAAAAGTGGACGAATATAGCGGGACGGAGGGAGTACTTATTTTTTAAAAGTACAAGCCGTCCGATAAAGTTGGAATTATTTTGGATAATTTTTTCTAAAAAATAAGAAGTGATATGTTAATACTTTGTATAATGCGTAAAATATTAAAACCCACCCGTATATTTTTATTTTACTTTTACCAATTTCAAGTTAGTTTCCATTGATTACCTTATTTGTTTTATTATTTTTGTATCATTTTAGTTACATCTCTCATTTTTTCATTTTTTATATCTATTATTTTTATTTTTTAAACTAAGACTAATCTTTAAAAAAGGAAAAAGAAATGACGATGGAGGTAGAAAGTAATTTAAAAAATTTAAATGAAAAATTTAAAAAAAATAAAAAAAAATGAAAATTCATCAAAAATAATCCCAACTTTCATTTTATTGTCTAAAATGGGCATTTCCGTTAACCCTCCGTTAGAAACTTAACGGCGACCCAAAACTGACAAATTTCAATAAAGTTGGGATTATTATGCATCACAGTGAAAAGTGGGATTATTTTTGAAAGACCGGGTAAAGTTGAGATTATTTTGGGTAATTTTACCTTATTTTAAATATAAGCATTAAAAGTATTACACAGTAATATTGAGAAATGCATAGCAAAAACAAAAAAGACTACATCAAATGTTCTGAAAGACTTTTTTGTACATTATCTCTTGTGTTATTTGAAGGTTGTAGGTCATCATTACAAATCAAAACCTTCAAACCACGTCGATTAGTCACTCGGGAGACATCAACATAAAGTTGGCCGTGACTGAAAATTGGTTTCTTGAGCAATAATCCCACATGCTTCAACGATTGGTCTTAACTTTTGTTAATTGTCATTGCGTAGGAAGTCATAATAGGGAACTGCTTCCTTTGAAACTTAAACGGAATCCGAGTATCCGAAGGTGTGAGCGTAAGTCGAGGTATGACTACTTCGTGGCCTGCATTCTTACCATCCATGACTTTTCCTTGAATCAAGTGAGTGCCCAATCTTGTAACAATCAATCTAGTTTCATTGCACAACCAATAGATTGATCTATATTCCTCAACAACATGATCGGTGTTCCCACCTTCAATCTAAGCTCGTGATTAGGCACACCAAATGCCCTGATGTTGTTTAAAAATTCAGGAGAGTGCAAGTCTGACATGGTAAATTAAACATATTTAACAAGAAATTGAATTTTATGTTGAAAATCATAATATTTTAAGGTAACATCAACCCAAACATGAGCCCAATCCTAAAAAATATACCCAGCCCAATTTTTAAAAATATACCCGGCCCAACCCCTTGTTAGTTTCTCAAACCCTGGCCGCTTCCTCTCATCTGCCGTTCGTTCTCTCTCTCTCTCTCTCTCTCTCTATTCATACAAAAATAGATGACCTTCCGATCCACTTTAACCGATTCCATGAATTTTCAGACAATCAACGATGGAAAGCTTCAGATTCTCTCACTGGGTAAGTTTTTAAGTAGATTATTTCATCTTCTTCGATTTTTGAAGATCTTAATTTCAAAAGAAATTAAATATTTATTTTTCTTTGAGTGATTTGAAGGGTCCGGAATATGCATGTGTTTTTTCTGAAATATGTTTTGGATTTAATCATTTTCTTCGATTTTTGAAGATCTAAATTTCAGACAAAATTAAATATTCATTTGTCTTCAAAGGATTTGAAGGATCTAGAATATGCATGTCTTTTTTTTTTTGAGATTTCTGTCTGATTCCACCATTTTCTTCGATTTTTGAAGATCTAATTTCAAACAAAATTAAATATTCATTTTTCTTTAAAGGAGTTAACGGATTTAGAATAAACATCATTTTTTAAAAATTTGGGTCGGATTTCACCATTTTTTCTTAAATCTGCTTTGGATTCCACCATCTTTATTTATCCAAATATATATTTCATTTAAAAATTCATTTATCAGTTCGAAAATTTAAACAGGTTCTTCTAATTTGTCAAACTAACATGTCAATATTAGTTTATTTCTCAATGCTCTTTATTACAATGAATTTTTTAAATACACGGTACTGCTTGAGACTCGCAACTTATAATAGCATTTAAGTTGCAGTTCTTCTTGAGCCTTGCAAAATTGTCTTCTCGATGCATATAATCATACCCTTTCATATTTAAGTTGCGGTTCTTCCATATTGTAAATAATATTTATTTTATACGACCATTTTATAATATTTTACATTTCAAAATATAATTAAAGTTTTGTTTCAAAATAGTTTTACTGTTATTATACGCCCAAAATTTTAAAACAAGGAAATTTTTTAACTTGACTAAATTTATAAATGCCTTTCCGCCAATGAATCCGAGTTCCCTATCATTAACAAAACAATATAACATGGATTAAGATTTTTCATGCACGTTTATTTGAATGCAATATCCAACAAAAATCAACATCTCTTAGCGAAAATATAATATTTTCACTTGTAAGCGAAAAATTAACTTTTTTCATGGCAATATAATGTCTTTTAACAATTTTTCACGTGCGTTATTTATTTGTTGCATGAACGAAAATCGTAGCCTTAAAAAACTGGAATCATTGGATTAGAAAAAGATCAAATACCTCTTCATCATGAAACACAATTTCCATTTTTTTGATAACAACCAACTTTCATTAATTCAAAAGAGACATCAGAAAATCAGGGGGGACAAAATCTCAATCACCTGTTTGAGTTTCAACCCGTCTAGCTAACGTATGCGCTACCACATTGAGATTTCTATGAACATGAGAAACCAAAACATATTCAAACGAGGCCATGAGGGCCTTATAGTCATCAATCAAAGACTCGAAATAAGAAGCACAATCCGACACACCACTATCATTAATTGCCTCTACGACACGAAAACAATGAGAAAAGATAACAGCAACCTGGACTCCAAGACTTTTGAGCCACGACAAAGTCTCCCGGCATGCCATAGCTTCTGCCAACAACGGATCTTGCGGGCACCACAACCGTCGAGTAAAAGCCGCTTGAAATTCCTTAGCAGAGGAGAAAATCACTCCACCAGCACCAACCAGACCTGAAGCATGGAATAAAGCAGCATCAAAAAAACAATGGGCAGCTTCAGGGGGGAACCCTCTCTGCCGAAGGAGATAAGGTGGGGGGATCCTCTCTATGACTATTCTCCCACCCTTTCGAAAAATTCAGCACCATGCAAACTGTTACCTCTGGGGTTGGCACCCGTTGTTCCCATACGGCTGCATTCCTACACTTCCAAATCATCTAGATTGTCCACACTATGGGGATTAGCTCACTGGACGTGGCCGTCTGAAACACCAACTGAACCCAGTCCGAGAACGAACTTGTCGCCGATCGATTAGCAACCCGGAAGCTACTGCGTTCCCACACATATTCTGCAAACGGGCAAAGAAGAAACAAATGATCCACTGTTTCACTCAGTTGGCCACAAATGGAACAACAATTATCAATTTCCAAACCTTTGGAATTCAAGGCCGAAACAGTTGGGAGGATACCTCGAAGTGCACGCCAAACACAAACCTTTACTTTGGGAGCTACTGGAATCCTCCACAGTCGGCTCCATTGTGAAAATCCTGGAGTTTGGGTAGCCTCCCCCATAATCCTGCGATACCCCGACTTCACTGAGTAAAGGCCGTCCTCACTGCCAATCCAAAACCAACTATCTTTATGCCAAGGGCAACACAGAATCATCTGCACCTGAGACACGTCACGTTGCACAAGATGAGTTTGAAGCCTCTCTAAAT